ACGCGGGGGACATTTTTTTTCATTTAAGGGGGGGGTCGACAATTTTCGGAAGCCTTTTAGATCAACTATTTACCCCCCACTTTCTATAACTTTTTGGACTTCTGCAAGCCTCTTATAATTTTGTTGGTGGAGAAATGGACAAATGGCCCACTGGGCTTTCACAATAGCTGAGTATCTGTGTATGTATATGTAAGGTTTTTAAGAGAAGTCTTTAAATATATTTTTCGCCCGGGCAACGCCGGGTACTTCCTGCTAGCATCTTATAAATACTGTACGCTCATTAACCACGAACAACGTTATATATCCGCTATTGCAATATAATTGTGCGGTGGTTAACTGGCAAAATACGATTCGCGTCTATTGATTGGCAAACACGCAATGTGGACGACGCCATAAAACACAATGACTTTCGAGTTTTAACAACAAATTGTACACCTACAGGAGATAATTCAAACGTGTCATATGACACATCACGTATTATTCAGTATTTGGTTTGGGATATCATTGACACCACACGATGGATCGTGCACATTGTTGGGTCTAAAAGTGAAGCCCAGCTAAAGCCAGCCAATGTCCCCTTGCACAAGAGCCCCGTGAGAGATTATTTAATTAACCTGCGCTGCTTTACATATGCACTCCATATATTTAACCGCCGTACCCAGCAAGAATTCCACGTAACGCGCAAAATAAAAGCGACCACGGCAGCCTCCTCTCTGGGCGTCGTCACTTCGACTCTACGCTGCCCGGGGTGCGACAACTCTGCCGCTTCAGCGGCGAAACACAGCAAGATGCCTCACCCCTGACCTTATCTTGACCTCCGTCCGGATACATTTTACAGGACCGAGTTCAATTCCTGGGTTGGATTGATGCAGCCCATCATCCCTCCGCGGTCGATAGAATGGGCATCACTTTGTGGGAAAGCAAAGCGGTTGTTCTATTCATAGACTCGCCCACCCACCAACGCGATATCGAATTTCGACCACTGACTGGCCCGGGGCTGTAAACAGGAGGAAAGCACCACCTCAATGCTCATTTGACCAATAAACCGCTTTGACTTATTGACTTTGTGTCTAATTTGTGTTGTCATATCACTGAAATTAATGTATAGGTACACATTGGTGAGAACAAAACTGGAGAGCAAATATTATTGTCGCTGAATATGTTGTAGTTTATATTGCGTTGTCTTTCATGCAAGTCACGAACCACAGGCAAGCTGACAGCTAGCAGCCAGGGAGTGAACTGGCGCCAACAATTGACCGATATCCTGGATGTTCAGCTGATTAAAGTGATAATAGTTTTTGCATCCTGCCACGCTGTTTAACCTAAACTCTAGCCCGTGGTATACCGCCAGATCAAATACACCTCGTCCTTTCTAGATTTAAAGCTTTCGTTACTGCAAGGATCCATACTCTTTGGTTCTATTCGGTAAAGTCACGTAAAAAGACAACAACAAATAAAAAACGTCGTGAATTTTTTTAATCTTTTGTTGTTCTTTCACGTGACTTTACCGAATAGAACCAAAGAGTACACCTCGTCCTGCTGCACACGTCCCGCCCGCTTACACGGATCTTTCTTCAAAACGTACAATGCACTGCTTAACGCGGGTCTGTGTTACAAAATAACTAAGAAGACAATAGTCTCCTTCACGTACGAAGCAAAAACATTTTCTTTGTATGTATGTTGAACTTCTTTCGCACCGTACGGAGCCAACCGTGTTAAGGGCAACAAATTAAACGCAAAAAAGCAGTTCTAAAGAAATTCGTTTTCATTGTGCCTTCAAGTGATTGCCCATTTTCACCAACAATTTGGGGGTCAACACAAGCAACACTCCGGACTGCTTGCAACATTCATCGTCTCATCGGTAAGAGTCAGGCTTGCGTGAGAAGTAATGCTGGTGAATTGCTAGATTTGTGTTGTTGTTATAGTCAAGCCCCCCCCCCCCTCTCTGTTGGATATTGTGTCCCGGTTCTACGCAAAACCACATAGCGCACCGTAACAACGCAGAATGACCGTGCAAGCAGCGTTGTAATTGCACCGCGGTGACATCGTGCATCATCGCTAGACGGAGTCGACACGCGTTGGGGCCACGCGGGCCAGGCAAGCCGGTGAACACTCCGCCCAGTGAGCCCGGCTCTCAAGGAATGTGGCACAGCTGGTGGGGCGAGTTATTTTTTTTGTTACCTGGGTAAACTCTTGAGCATGACACTGTCGTTTGCAAGGGTGGCCAGGCTGTCGAAGTGACACATACACGTCAAACGACTAATGGCACGTGCACAAACGTTATAAAATGTATAAACTACGCAGTATATACCTTTACACAAACAAAACAATGACACCGGAGTTCAACATATATAAATAATGCCTAAATAAATAATCGCAAGTTCCCAGGTACAACGTGGTTCCTCTTGTCTTTCGGTCACCAAAACAATATATACACTTTAACTGTGACCGAATGACGGCAGCAGTGATACAGGGAGACAGCTGTAGACCGGTTTCGTCATTATTAGCACTCACCAGTAGTACAGGAGTCACCAATGTCAAACAGGACAGGTGGCTTGGGTTGTCAAACAAGACGACTCACATTGCGCTTCTTCAGGAACTGCTGTTCTGCACTCACACAATGCTGTTATGATGCACGTGTTTTTCTCGTACAGTATTTACAGATTTGACGTTGTGGTGAGTTAATAAAGGTGCAGGCACTCCCCTCCAATTGCTTTTGCTCAAGCACCCTGCTCGAGAGAGCCTTAGTGGACACCCTATTGAGGATATTTGGCCTACTCTTACACACTGGCCAGACGTCTTGTAAGAAAAAATACTCACACTTTACCCCACCGCAGGCCACATTCCAATGGACCAACTGCGATCGTGCCCATTTATACTGCCGAGGATACAGAGGCGCGGGGTCGGGGGAGGGCGGTTCATGAAAATGTGATAATCCTTTGACCTGCTCGCCGGGGGATCGAATCGAGCCGGCGTGTTACATCAAATACATAAACAAAGGAATGCGATGTGTATTGTACTGTAATATTTTTTTTTTAAATCACGGCGCACAAACTCGGTATTTAGTGTAAAGTTCATTTGACAGGCCATTTGGAACGGATGTGTAACATTCATTCCACACTGGAACGCAGTTGTGGCAATGACATTCAAGGCGTGACCTCTTGTGGCGTGAACGCCCTCAGTGCTCAATGTCACGCAGGGAATACGAAACGGCTACTGTGAGCATGTAGCTCGGACTATCCCTATCCTGTAACAAGCATCGACTGGTAATACTCCGTTGGCGGTCCTGAACCAGAGGCGAGAATGTATGCGCGACCATGGCTGAATCAGTTCAATTGAAGACTGTGTGGTGCCGCAGCAGCAAAGCCGCTCCGTCGGAGCCGTGCCGGCCGCTCCGTCGCAGCAGCAGCAGCGGAGGCCGTCCTGCCGACTTCCCTCACCACCCCCCACATGAACACACACACAACCACATAGAGCCCTCACATGAACACACACACACCCACAGAGCCCCCACATGCACACACACCCACAGAGCCCCCACATGCACACACACACCCACATAGAGCCCCCACATGCACACACACCCACAGAGCCCCACATAGAACCCCCACATGAACACACACACGTAGATCCCCCACATGAACACACACCACCACATGAACACACACACACACCTCCACATAGAGCCCCCACATGAACACACACACACATACAGCCCCCACATAAACACACACACACCCACATGAACACACACACCCCCCCACATAGAGCCCCCACATGAACACACACACCCCCCCACATAGAGCCCCCACATGAACACACACACACCCCCACATAGAGCTCCAACATGAACACACCCCCCCACATGAACACACACCCCCCACATGAACACACCCCCCCCCACATGAACACACACCCCCACATTAACACACACCCCCCCCCCACATAGAGCCCCCACATGAACACACACACACCCCCACATCGAGCCCCCACATGAACACACACCCCCACATAGGGCCCCGAGGGGAGGTCACCTGGCCGACAGGTTTTCACCAAGAAGCCCTCTCATGGGACCAAACTTCACGGTTTCCTGCGACCAGGGAATTGGGCGACCTCCCCCGAGGCTAACTCGCACCGCGGCGCCGTGACTTGGGTTGTAGTGGCATGGTCACGACGGGGCTGCTGAGCCACCGCGGATAAGAGGCACCCAAAACACACACGGGTCAGCAGGCATGTAAGGGGTGGGACAGAGTAGCGAGCGGCGGGAAGGCAGGGGGCCCTCCCCTTGCACAGCGTGTGTAAAAAGCGGACGTCGGAGAGAGCACCGATCGGATTAGCGAGGAGCGGAAAATCCGAGGCTCCTGATTGGACGAGAGGCCAGCGGATTAGCGGCACGTTATCTTTGATGTAAGTACGATAAATAGGGTAGAGGAGGTAGTGGTAGGGATTCAGGTTCTTCTGTAGTCAAGGAGCGGAGGGGTCATCGTGCCTGCTACTGGATCGTCCGTGAGACGAGTCGCAGCGCAGCCAGGCCCCGTTCCCAGCGAGGACTACGTACAGCCTCGCCTTTGGGTGGCTTCATGCACCTCGGAGGCGAAACGACACGGAAGAGGGGAGCGGTGGATCCCAGATGAGCGGGGAGACGGGGGTCAGCCTCCCCGACAAATAACCACTGGTTATTTCCCACTAAGCGGTGCTCCTTTCACCAACCCACAAAAGGGACGTCGAGAAAAAATGACGATGTGATAACCGAGCAAGACTCCCATCACAGGCTGGGTTATTGCCACAGGCGGCATGGGTTCGCCGCATGCAAGCGTTAATGCGGGCCGTATAAGTGTTAATGTGGGGCAGTGACAAGGCCAAGCGGTAGCGCTTTCACCACACGGTGTTGTTGCAGGATTTCCGCACCTCCAATTAGCACACAATAGGCTACGTACAGTGCCAAAGAAGTGAAATGTTAAGTGAAATGCACAAAATAATGTATAAATGTCTTAAAAATGTATTTTAAGCCTGGTATTTTTATTTACAATGTCCATTTTATTTTTCACAGCAAAGGAAAGCATTTTTACACCTGCCAAAGTTTACATTTAACTGCCGAAACAATGTTGCACACCAGTATTGTGGTGTTACTTGGTTTATGTACATTTTAAAACAAGTTGGATCAAGGCAACATATGCCGACATTTTAAATTAACCACTTCGAAATCTGACCTGCACAGGCCTTACGGTTGTTTTGAAATGAATACCATTTATATACATGGAATTATGATAACGACAAGAAACATGGTTTTATTAATTTAACAAATCCACAGCAAAAAAATACAAATTAAATATGGAAAACGAAATGTTCCTGAAAACTAGCACCAGCCAAAAATTATTGTGAACATGCAATTCGGAGCCAAAATGTAGTTGGCTTATTTATGGCAGGTCATGTATCTGCAGCGGCATAGTTTCAAACATGCACAAGACAACCACAAAAATATAAGCAATTTAAATTTAGACTTTTCATAGTCTATGGTTCTTTCGGTAAAGTCACGTAGATAGAAAAAATAAAAGAAAATTTTTAACATATAAATAAAGTGAATAATCGTCATCCTGACAACTATTGCTTGTGTTGCGATAGAAACGTTGTGATATATATTTTATTCACTTTATTTTCATTTAAATTTTTATTATTTTATTGTTATTTTTTCTATCTACGTGACTTTACCGAAAGAACCACAGAATATGTAAGCAATTTAGTTACGTGGAATAATAATTGTTGTGTTCAAGTGAATGTAATAACTTGGAAACCGACTTCTAAACATCAGTAAACAATAGATCATTACGAGTGTGACAAAATAAAAAAGGACTGGCAAGTGAAGTGCGTTCGTAAGGCAGTGTTCTGCAGCTGCGCGCTCAGGCATCCAACCATCGTGACGGGAGCAGATGAATCTTTTATACCGTGCCATCGCTTTCCAAAAGTTGCTCCAGGATCTCTCTGCCAACATAAATATACGAGTCCCATTTTACACAGCTTGCATTCAACATTTTTAAACATGATTAATTTAAGATTTAAATGCATACAACTTTTCAGTATACCACATAAATATGCCCCGTCCCACACTTTGATTTAATTATTATCTAGACTTCAGGATATTTACTTTCTAGTTTAAAGGGACCTATCTTGATTTGAACCTTTCGTGACTGTAGGAATCCATACTCTTTGGTTCTTTCGGTAAAGTCACGTAGGTAGAAAAAGAAAAAAAAATATCACGATGTTTCGATCACAACACAAGCGGTCGTCCTCAGGCGGAAAAAAATAATCCAGCAGTGGAACTGCCGAACCAGGAAGAACACAGCGAGAGAGCTGTAACAACACAGCGAGAGAGCTGTAACAACACACGAGAGAGCTGTAACAGCACAGCGAGAGAGCTGTAACAGCACAGCGAGAGAGCTGTAACAGCACAGCGAGAGAGCTGTAACAACACAGCGAGAGAGCTGTAACAGCACAGCGAGAGAGCTGTAACAGCACAGCGAGAGAGCTGTAACAACACAGCGAGAGAGCTGTAACAACACAGCGAGAGAGCTGTAACAGCACAGTGATCGAGCTGTAACAACACGACGAGAGAGCTGTAACAACACGAGAGAGCTGTAACAACACAGCGAGAGAGCTGTAACAACACAGCGAGAGAGCTGTAACAGCACTGCGAGAGAGCTGTAACAGCACAGCGAGAGAGCTGTAACAGCACAGCGAGAGAGCTGTAACAGCACGGGAGAGCTGTAACAACACAGCGAGAGAGCTGTAACAGCACAGCGAGAGAGCTGTAACAGCACAGCGAGAGAGCTGTAACAACACAGCGAGAGAGCTGTAACAACACAGCGAGAGAGCTGTAACAACACAGCGGAGAGAGCTGTAACAACACAGCGAGAGAGCTGTAACAACACCGCGAGAGAGCTGTAACAACACAGCGAGAGAGCTGTAACAACACAGCGAGAGAGCTGTAACAACACAGCGAGAGAGCTGTAACAACACCGCGAGAGAGCTGTAACAACACCGCGAGAGAGCTGTAACAACACCGCGAGAGAGCTGTAACAACACAGCGAGGGAGCTGTAACAGCACAGCGAGAGAGCTGTAACAACACACGAGAGAGCTGTAACAGCACAGCGAGAGAGCTGTAACAACACAGCGAGAGAGCTGTAACACAGGGAGAGAGCTGTAACACAGGGAGAGAGCTGTAACAACACAGCGAGAGCGCTGTAACAACACAGCGAGAGATCTGTAACAGCACCGCGAGAGAGCTGTAACAACACAGCGAGAAAGCTGTAACACAGCGAGAGCTGTAACAACACAGCGAGAGAGCTGTAACAACACAGCGAGAGAGCTGTAACAACACAGCGAGAGAGCTGTAACAACACACGAGAGAGCTGTAACAGCACACGAGAGAGCTGTAACAGCACAGCGAGAGAGCTGTAACAACACAGCGAGAGCGCTGTAACAACACAGCGAGAGAGCTGTAACAGCACAGCGAGAGAGCTGTAACAACACAGCGAGAGAGCTGTAACAACACAGCGAGAGAGCTGTAACAACACAGTGAGAGAGCTGTAACACAGCGAGAGAGCTGTAACAACACAGCGAGAGAGCTGTAACAACACCGCGAGAGAGCTGTAACAGCACGAGAGAGCTGTAACAACACAGCGAGAGAGCTGTAACAACACAGCGAGAGAGCTGTAACAACACAGCGAGAGAGCTGTAACAACACAACGAGAGAGCTGTAACAACACAGCGAGAGAGCTGTAACAACACCGCGAGAGAGCTGTAACAACACAGCGAGAGAGCTGTAACAGCACAGCGAGAGAGCTGTAACAGCACAGCGAGAGAGCTGTAACAACACAGCGAGAGAGCTGTAACAACACAGCGAGAGAGCTGTAACAACACAACGAGAGAGCTGTAACAACACAGCGAGAGAGCTGTAACAACACCGCGAGAGAGCTGTAACAACACAGTGAGAGAGCTGTAACAACACAGCGAGAGAGCTGTAACACAGCGATAGAGCTGTAACAACACAGCGAGAGAGCTGTAACAACACAGCGAGAGAGCTGTAACACAGCGAGAGAGCTGTAACACAGCGAGAGCTGTAACAACACAGCGAGAGAGCTGTAACAACACAGCGAGAGAGCTGTAACAACACAGCGAGAGAGCTGTAACAACACAGTGAGAGAGCTGTAACAACACAGCGAGAGCTGTAACAGCACCGCGAGAGAGCTGTAACAACACAGCGAGAGAGCTGTAACAACACAGCGAGAGAGCTGTAACACAGGGAGAGAGCTGCAACAGCACCGCGAGAGAGCTGTAACACAGCGAGAGAGCTGTAACACAGCGAGAGAGCTGTAACAACACCGCGAGAGAGCTGTAACAACACAACGAGAGAGCTGTAACACAGGGAGAAAGCTGTAACAACACAGCGAGAGCGCTGTAACAGCACCGCGAGAGAGCTGTAACAACACAGCGAGAGAGCTGTAACAACACAGCGAGAGAGCTGTAACACAGGGAGAGAGCTGTAACAGCACCGCGAGAGAGCTTTAACAGCTTTAACAGCTCTCTCGCGGTGTTCTTCCTGGTTCAGCAGTTCTACTGCTGGATTATTTTTTTCCACCTAAGGACGACCGCTTGTGTTGCGATCGAAACGCCGTGATATTTTATTTTTTATTTTGTGTACCTACGTGACTTTACCGAAAGAACCAAAGAGTATATTAAAGGGACCTTTTAGAATTGCAAGGTTACACATGAAATGCAAAACAAATGAGTATTTCAGGTTAAACAATGCATGGACATTTTCCAGAAGGTTCATATTTAATGTTTTTGTCCAAGTTCAACCACATGAGCCCAAAACTCAAGCTCATTTTTTAAATGAGCGCAATTTATATAGTGCACTGCTCACTTGTGGATGTAGAAGAAGATGTATCCACTCCTTTCCCGTGTGTCACGCACGGTTGCCTCAGATGTGCGAGTTACATCCGTGTCATCATAGGTGAACCAGCTTTGCTTTTTTACATCGAACGTGTCACTAATGTAGTGTCCTGAAACGGGTTACACACGCAAGTTTAAACAGGCCTATCTGCTGATAAACAAACACAAATCTTGAAAATGTTGTTTACAGGCGAATACACTTGCAAGTACAGATACTTGAGCATTACCTGCAGAGGAATCACTGCCGATGTGGCTGACAACGCTGAGTAATTGAAATGAATGGGGCAAGTCACCAGTCTGTTGAAGAAAATAAATTACTTTGTCACCTTAGAGAATACGAACAATGATGTACATGACGAAGTGGCCCTTTGCTGGGCTGGCTGTGCCATCATGTTTATGCGATACTGCAAGCGAGTTTTTACCTCGGCATTACACTTGAGTTCGAGAGCCTCAGCTTCGCTGCGCTCCAGCTCCACGCTGCCCTCGTTCCCAGAATCTTCATCGGAGCCCATAACCTCTGCCAGACTGTGCTGAAACTCTGTCGATTGTGGTGTGTGACATTGATACAGAAGTTATTGCAAAAGCCTATGCGCATCCCCAGTGGAATGGAGGCAACGGTGAGCACACTGCTGTGGACCGTTGTGCGGGGAGTTACATTTCTTTTAGCCAGTATCAGTAAATAGTGCTACCTGAAGCAGTCCTGACCTCTGCAACAGCCCTTCATGAACTCACAATTACAAACATATAAGTATGGTCAAACAACCTTGACTTTCAACCAGCAGTGGATTGGCATGAGAGATTCGTTCATGAGGCTATCCACATATACAAGCACAGAGACAATTTCAACCGAGAAGATGGATTCTATCTTAGCAATCATTGGAAAGATTTGATAAATCATTTCAGTTCTTGATTGATTGTTCACGCTTACAGTGGCTTTCAGACAGCATACATTATAAAAAATTTCGTCTCCCCCCTCCTCTTTTAAAAAAAATAGATGGACTAGTCCTGGGCAAACTGCCAATCGCTGCGCGTGAGGCCAACGTTTTTTTTATAAATAAATAAATGTGCCGTTTTAAAAATAAATTTATGCAAACCGACACACCTGATGATGACCGTTTGAGTTATGGTCGAAACGTCGTGAAATTTTTTTATTGTTTTATATATATTTTGTTATTTTGTTGTTTCTCTTCAACGTGACTTTACCGAAAAAACTAAGAATATGGCAAAGTGCTGTTAATTATTTAAATGTACACACCCCCAGCACTAAACGATGTGATGCAGGCTTATGTCTGCACAAGATTTGTGAGCTGGCTCATAGCTTCAGTCCACATTACAAAGACAGCCCTACCCTACTAACCCGACACCACGGGTTGAACATGGAACCAGTAAAACATCAGTGTCATGATGGTGTGATCCAAGTGTGGGATTTTTCAGGATAGGAATAAATGCAACAGTCTTAAGTGCTAAGGGGACAATGGGAATGATATTGAATGAGATAAGAGTTTACCAAACTGGAAATTTACAGGGACAGGGTGGCCTAACCTATGAAAAAGTTAGTTTCAAAAATATTTAAAGATTGCTTTCCAAACCTCAACTCCAGCTCAAGGGTTTCAGGGAGAAGGTGGGTGACAAGAGTGGAAGGGCCAAGTCCATAGAGGTCCTTATAGCTCAAAGTGGGAACTTGGATCCTGCCTGTTGCTGATCTTGAAGTGCAAATGCAGTATTATTGGGTGGTTGAGCCTGGTTCCCAGTCGTGGAACGTAGCATTTGAATACAACAGACGTAATGTGGATTTTTCAAATATAAAGAAATGTAATTCTGTTTTGATGGGTGGGTCACCGTTACCTTGTAGACTCAATTCTGTCGCTCTTTTCAGTTCGTCTTCTTCTCTTTGTTCCCTGGCTTCCTGAAAGTCCCAACCAATATTTTTTTATTCAAACATATAATTGGTATTGATGCATTCATGTCAGAAAATCATATGAACAGCACAAAAAGTATCCAGTGTAATTGAGGTAATGACTGGTGGATCACACAGTTTAGTGAAACTCCCCGATGTGCTACACAGGGGTCATATGCCTTTGTCTGTTAAGACATGACAAACATTTCTTAAATAAGTAAATTATGAGCTGGCTGGGTGGCTTAAAGAACGAATGCAATGCCAGAGCACTGACCAGGAACCACTGAGATCATGTGTTCAAATATAGGCAAACCACTTCTTGATTAAACCAGTGAGTTGGTGGCCTCAACACGGGGACAAAAAAAACATCATGTTAAAAAAATGTTTTACTGAAATTTCCAGCTCTGAAGATAAAAACAATCGATTGATTTAATAGAGATACATACGAGGGAACACCTCCGAGTGAGAAAGTGAAATGCACCAGGTGTGGAAAATAAATAATTGAAGAGATACCAGAAGTAGTTCTGTAATGTTAATTTAGAGGCTGTTCTAACGCAGATCAATGCACTCATTACAACTGTAAATGTATTTATCTCATTACATGGTGCACATAAACACACTGAAAATATAAAGGAAACATTTTATAGGTTGCCAGGTGGCTCAGGGATCAGAGCACTAAGCCAGCATCAATGACATTCTGGATTGAATCCAGATAGCCATCTGACTAAAGTGGGTTTTTCAAATGAGTTGATATTTTAAACCTAGTCATTATTACAAGGTGTGTAAAATGCAGATGAGTGACATTACAACAGGGCTCATGCAGGAATGCGAATTAACATACAAACATAAATAGGCAAGAACGGAAATGACGCTTAGGTAACAGACAATCAAGAGTTTAGAAGCTCGTCGGATGGGAAAATGTCTGAGATGGGAATTGAGCCCCTGGGACCAGAACAATGATTTACACTCCTGCGCACATGCTTTATTGCACATCAGCCTACAGTATTCCCTCATGTTTCCTGCCCAATATCTCATCTGGATTGGGGTATATATACAGCCATAGTGCGTGCCTGTTTTTGTTAGCTTTCTTTCGACTCTCTGCTGATTTTTTGTCTTTTACTTGTCTGTAATGAGACGGCATGGGGCAACTTGTCATAGTTACAGGACGGGATGGGATGTAACAGAATGTAAATTTGATTCAAATGTTTACCTCTATCGAGTGAATAAAGAGGTATATTTAAGTGAATTTAGGAACAGATCACAATATTATACTGCCACCCTCTGACGGGACAATGCATTGCTAGTTTAGTTGCAAGTGGAAATGTGTTGTAACATTATGCCATATCAATAGGACAATCAAGTGGATCGGTATCACATTCGGTGCTAGTCTACTAGACACACATTGACAGATTGCCCATCGCTCGTGGGTATTGGCAACACAATCATTATACATTTGACTTCTCTTCAGTACATGACTCTGCTCAACATTTTTACTTTTGTTTACTTACGTTGTGTTCAATACCGTGAGCAATAATTCCTAAATCTCCACTTTTTAAATATCTTTCAAAGTTGTTTTTAATGCATGTTCTCCTAATGCAATACTGTTCTGTTTCTTTTCACTGTTTTTTATTGTTTTCCCTTAACTTTGATTACTCAATACACATCCAATGCCATCTTTTTATTTTGGTACTACGTGGACCTGGAATGATTTTATTGTTTTGTTGCTGCTGGAATTGTATAGGAGCGATTTGTAAATTGTTGTTGCAGGATGTCTGTGCCTGCAAATATATTTTAACTGTTTAAATCAAAACATGTATCGCTTCTTTAGTTGTTTCTGTATGGGCCCTTTCAAACTTTGCCCATTAGGATTTTTTAAAGTAAAAAGACCGTAATTTTCTACAGTGAGGCGATTAGTGATTCAACGGGTATAACAAGTTTTACAATGGGACACATTTAGTGATATAAAAGGGATAATGTTGAACGACGCTTCAGCACATTTCTGTCCATAGGTTCTCGTTGGAATGTAATTTGGAAAAAGCAAAAACTATAAAATGAACATAAATTCATAATAACCTCCCAACACTAGATTCTTCTTAAAGCTGGTCATGAGACAGGCTTTCCTGGACTCATAATTGACACGTACATAGTTCCTGTTGCTCCATGTTGTCCACTAAAATTATAACATAATATTCCTTATTACACTTGAAGATAAATTCCAATTTACAATTGATGTAATGTTTACGGCAATCAAAAAGCTTACAAGTCACTGTTTGTATAGCTGAATATAGCGAGGGCACAGTGTTCCAACCTGATCTCGGAGACTCTGTGCAAGGGCCTCCTGCAGCTCTCGCTCCTCCCTCTCGCGATCCAAGCTGTATTGATCCATCCAGTCTGGCTCTGGCTCAGCCTGCAAATCACCCTCCGTTAAGGGTCCTGCCGGGGGTGAGGCCACCATCACAGCTGCTTCTTTTACTGGGGTACGGTTCTCCTTGTCTTCATCCCCACTTGCCTTCTGCTCATTCTTCTCAGCACCTTCTTCCTTCTTCCCAGCATAATCTTCTTCCTTCTTGGGTCCAATGTCCATTTTGGACCATACTGGGATGTCATCTTCTTCCCAGTTCTCGGTTGGTACAATTATGCTACTGTACACTGAGGGGCAGATGGAAAAAAACCATGGATGGTGCACATCTAAATTCACATACGCTATTCAAAACATAGAAATTCAATATTGTCATACCCTCATCAATGCACTTAAATCTCAATCGTAATGAGAGCTGTTATTTGTAATTATACTTTGGGTTCTACCTTGAGGTGTATTGTTATGAATGGCTGTTTATGTGTTTAGTTTGCCGTCCTTCCCCCGCACCTCCAATTAGCACGGTTCACTGCATATGGTGCGAAAGACGTTCAACATACATACATACATAGTCATTGGACAACTTCCCATGTGATGTCATCCAGCCATACCTGGTTCCTCAACATGTGCTGTAACTTCAGAGCATGGTTCCGACTCCACCTCCTGCACCTCAGCGACATCTGGGAAGTCCACCTCATCACAGAAGCCAGTGTCTGGACTGCTATTAGTCGGCTCCTGGTCACACATCTGCATTAGGAGGTCCTCATTGACTTGTGTATTGTCTCGCGCCTCCAAACCGCTGTGTATCTGCTCATCCTCGTTATCATGCTTGTTGGAAGCATGCAACCCTAAGTGATCAACTTCCGAGTCCTTCAGCATGGAAAGGGCCTGCTGGCCACTCTCATCCTGGCTGATTGCCATCACAGTAGCTAACATTTCATCTTCGCATGCCCCTTCACAACCATTAAATCTGTTGGTTTCCACCACCTGCAATAGAAAACCCTCATGCATTTAGCGTCAAGGTGTCTTTATATTTGTAATGTTATGCATTTCATGTCAACAGCAAATATACAATGTAAACGTACAGAACACAAGTTAAGTAAAACCAACAAACAATAAATGCAACAAAAAATACCGCACCTGTTTACTCAAGTTCAGGGCACGTTTCAGCTGATCTTCATCAGTATCAGACTCCGATATGGACAGGACACGTGGCTTGAAAGTGTAACGCCTGAAATTCAATAGGAAATCCATTAACTGTGATCTGTCCAGTTGGATGAAGGCATCATTAAGCCATCACTATCTCTCAGGTTTTTGATCCATGTAGCTCCTACACATGATCTTATTCCATGATGTGTATTAGATTACCCATAAAAGGCCTGCGAGCAACATTCCCCAGGTAGACTTACTTATCTAAATTCAACATGTCTCCAACTTGCCTGTTCTCTCATTCATGTGTTTCTCTCTTTCTTCCTCTCAGTATATTCAAAGCAAGATTTTGTTTGAATCTTTGTAAATGATAAAAAGTCACAGGCAGAATTTTTTTTTTCCAAAAGCACTCCCAACAATTTTTGTTCACCACTACTTATCTAATAATTTTTATCCCAGTCAACATTCAACAAATGCCCTTTAGTGTATAGTCTAACGTGTTTTCCAGTTGTGTCCCTCCATCAGGGGCGGAGCCAGGATTTTGACTTTGGGGGGGCTGACTTCAATATTCTGAGATATCCAGTGTATGTTTTCCAATGGGTGCCACAAATGCAAAAAACACATTGTATTGAATTTGAACGCGGAGTTTATTAATAGGTCGGAGCCGCTGATGTGGCTAATAAGTTCGATAAGTTCGAAAGGCTGCCGCTCAAGCAGCCTGCAGGGCAGCACAAGGTGGCAGCCTGCAGCATTTTGCAGCAGCCGGATATCCGGTTATCCCGATTACCGACTTTCCCAAAATTTCAGGGGGGGCTAAGCCCCCCCCAGCCCCCCCCTGTGGCTCCGCCCCTGCCCTCCATAGATATATTTATTTGTTCAGCTAACTTGTGCCTGACATTAATCACTTATCTTGAGCGCAATTTTACAGTCTTCATTATTAAATTCTTCAATAATCAATTTAAATCTGAGAGTTCTTATTTCCTCCATTTACATTTGCACCTCTTTCTCAAGTTACATTTTTGGGGAAACATCTTAAATCACTGCGCATAACTTTTGGAAAGGTGTTGTAATATGTATTTTATGTACGCAGTATCAGTGTAGCTGTTTATTTCGATGTAGGCCTTCATTTGCGAGAGTCTGGATAACTTTATCAACAGCATAACTGTGGCTTGAAGTTGGACATCATAGATGTGAGAGCATAGATGTACAGTACAATCAATTTTGCTGCATTGCCCTCTGCTGATCACTGCACTGCCCTCTGCAAGACCTATGACAACCAGTTGTACAGGGTGGTCATCCATTCTATTACTATCCAGGCTCAATTTTGCTTCGCTTCAAATCGGGCATATTCCGGGTGATTTGGTCATAGGCAACGTTATGAAATAAAGCCAAGCATATATTGTTAAATTCACATGCTTACTTTCTGTTTGATGATGTAGACGGAGCATTCATGGACTGGGAACTTCGTAAAGGCTGCATGTTTCTGTTGAAAAATAATAATAGATAACGATTTGGGTCAAATTATCTAAACATTCAAAGACCCTTCTTGGAAAAAAAACTTGATACAATTGAGTCTTCTTTTGGTAAATTAATACTAGTGTTCTGAAACAAATCCAATTAATATCTTTATTTATATTTGCACAGCTGGAGGGATAATGTGGTTTCTGCATGCCACAACCCGCATATTGTCTTATACATGGCAACATGTGTGGAAGCATCCATTACCCATGCGTGTGTTTGCTGGAGCGCAGTGACAGGGCTGAGCGTGTACCCTCTACGCAGTGGGCCTGCAGCGTCAGATACAGGGGGATGATCACTTGCTGTCCCACTTTGTTGTTAACGGCCAACTGCACGTCGAAGCTGTAGCGCTTCAAGTGCAGGATCAGGACCCTGCACAAACAAGAATAGTTAAGGCGCATCTCCAGGTATGAGCATTGCCTTCCAAATTAAGATACATAGCATGTAAAGGCCACTCGAATTAATCAAAATTGCAGCTGTTGTATTTGTTAATCACTGACCTTGGTAGCTTAATGAACTTGTGTGTTACAGTCGCATTCCTGCTTTCGCACTTCTCGCATGCATACTCTACGTCTTCAGCCTAAAAACAAACAATTCGAGAAGCATTTCACTGTGTGATAGTGTTGTGATTGTTGCCTAAGTCTAGAATATAGAAAGGAGTGAATAATGCTTTGTACCCTCAAGAAGAGGTCGAGGGAGTCTTGGATGGACCAGGCGGTGTCAGATTTTTTTCGCGGGAGATCAATGGAGAGGTCATTAAATTGCTCCTTTTTCTTCACCACCTCTCCACACCTGGTAACACCAACATGCATTAGGTAAATGTATTTGGCAAAAGAGAAGCATAGCAAAAAATTATAATTGCCCGTGTACCACACTGAGTGAAAGGATACTGACACACGGCAGGTGATGGTATGCAGAACTTCAAACTCCATATTTGCAGCAACAGGGCAGGTGTAGGGCATGTCCGATGCACTGTCTGTCTGACTGGGCTTGGGAGACTCGCCCTGTCCAGGCTCCAGACGCCATTTCTTGTTTAGTCGTTCTACATCCTCCTTTAGCTGGTCTAGGCACTGGCTGAGAAACTCGTGCGCATCCTGAGAGCATAGAATATACATACAATCCTTACAAACAAAATCCAGATGTATGCATCTCGACTGCACACGAACACTTTGCCATGTATTGACATTATTCATTCCAACATCACACGACCAGTTTATAACTTCAGATTTAAAATTATCCTGGTCCGTGTAGCCTAATCATTTCAAAAGTAAAATTTTACAAATTGTGATTACAAGATAACCAGTGTGATTGATATCTTACTTGCGTTTGATAGTAGTGTTAATAGAGCAGATTTATATTCACGACAGGATAGTTGCACTGTAATCAAATGACCTACCACCTTATAATACCAATTTTTCTAATCCCAAAAACAAAAGTAGGGAAAGCAAAACTCACATTTTGGGCATATCCAGAAAATCGCTCAGCAGAAGCAGATATGGCGGTTTTTACTCTCTTCAGTAGCTCCTTCTTGTAATCCATAGTGCACACGTCTTTCTTACTCAAAAGATGAGCCAGTCGCCTACAGAAATTGAAGCAGGTTCACAAATGGGGTTCTAACATTTACTGTTGGGATCGACATGTGAGCACATAATGTAAAATATAAAACTTGCCTCAGTAGAGAGTTTGGAGGGACTCGATTCCATGGGATGCCCTGCCTTAACATGTCCGAGGTAAAGGAATGCAGGGCAAAGAGGGACTGCAGGATGGCATTCATGTAGCACGTATTGCCCAGGTTGGAGAATCTTTTGGAAAATAATATTAACAATTAAAACACATATACACACATCACAGTGAATACATACATATTCAAACCAAAATCTGCATCTCTTAATAGCAAGTTAAATACTTACCCTTGCAGTTGTGGTTGCTGAGTAGACAAAAATGGCTTGCTCTTGTTCCAGCCTACAAAATCAGAAGTAGACTTTATCTTCTTGCAGGCTGTGGCGGCATGTGGAGTTACCAAACCCAGGGACCTTTTTGCAGCAGGAAACTGTGATCCTAAGCATGACCTGTTCAATCAACAATGAATAAGTAAAACATTCCACGAGTACAAATTACATTAGGTGTTGAAACAATCAATTGAGGTTATTCAGCTTTTTATAATGAAATCACATAATAAAAATGCAACGGTACCTCTCAGAAAAAGGACTAGGAGAAGAGTATTCCCTGGTCCCAGTCTGTCCGTAAAAAGATGTGGTAGTTTGCAGAGGCATCACACCTAAAAACATAAATAATTATTTATTACCTCGTCCATATCGTTTCCATCTTGATTTTCAAAATTAAAATGTTTAAAGCACAAAGAAATGTATTATTTACACAAAGTGTAAAACACAATAATATAATCAACATTTCCAAAATCACTTTTAAATTAATGTTATAAAAGTTACATACCTTTGCCTTTTACATCTTCCTGTTTCGCATGAGAAGGAAATAACCTCTTTGCTTGCTGTTCCCCACAGGGTCTGGAGTTACTCGGCATCAAATTAGGACACCTTTGACATAGGAATAGATTGTGATAGGTTAACTTGTTAAAAACACACAAGATACTAAAACATGTTGATGAATGATCAAAAATAAAGATCAATGCTTGCCTGGAAGAGTCATTCTCCTTTGGGTAATCATTAGTGATTTCTTCGTCTGGTGTTAAAGTTCTCTTCCGTTTGTCATTTCTAAAACATAATTTTAGAAGGTAAAATGAAGGTAAAAACAAATAATGCATTTTTAAAAAATGTGCAATTATGATAAACAAAGTGTACGTGTGGTGAATCGCGAGAGTGCATAATGATACCTGGGCTCACTCAGGCTGGCTCTGGCTGTTGACGAGGTCGCTGTGTTGTTGGGAGACAAAGACGGGAGTCCCTTGCTACCTTGCACATTTCCTTGGGATCCCGAGAGGTGCTGCACCCTTGGCGTTCGACCCGGGGGGCCCTGTGTTCTTTTCACAGGGGTCTCTGCCGACCCTTCTGCAGTAGGGCGCTTATTTGGAGTCTAGAGAGAGTACAATTGTGTAGCGTTTTATCAAACGCTGCTATATTGTGAATTAAAGCAACTGACAGTGAAATGGAGACATTAACTCACCCGATTTTCAGTGTCAAAATGACGCTTGGAGTCTCGCTGAGAAGTCCTCTTCCCCAAAACACCACTTAAAGGACTAGATCCTGAGATACTCTTTCCATCTGTGGTTTTAAAGGAAATGTGAAAAAGGCCACAGGGTACATTAATGTAATAAACATTTTCAATAAATTCAATTGAAGTAAACAGTCTACAATTTAAATAACAAGACAGCAGCTAATTGTTGGCAAGTGTCCGACTACTTTCAGGTTCCATAAAAAACCCCATACCTCGGTTTGGATTCTTCTCCACATCCTTCAGGTACTGACTGAGCCACTGAACTTGACCCAGCATGGCATACTGCACTGTGATATTGCTCGAATCCAGCAGAGTAATCATGATGCGGCTGTGTTCCTTATGATCGGACACTCGCACAGACTTTACATTCTCTGTGAGCTGCGTACACACAATCCAACATTCACCACAAGAAAAACAATTATTTCCACAGCATATGTACTTTCTCCACAGTGGCGAGATGTTATCCCCCTCGCTTGGTATGCAGGAAGTCGAGGGTTCAATCACAACTCTTGACACCTGTATATCTGGAGTTTGCATATTCTCCCTGTAGTTGTGTGGATTTTTCTCCGAGTCCTCCAGTTTTTCACTCCACATTTCGGAACATGCCTTTAGATTATTTGGCTACTAGAAATTACCACACATGTTAAGCCACTTTGATGAGCTTTCATGTGTGGCCAGGTTGCCTCAGAAAAAACGCAAATAGTTGAGTGGGATTTACCTTGTAAATAAAAGTTTCAAAAACAGTAAAAACATTACCTGTGTAGTGACTGACTCAGAGCCACGAAGAGTAGGAGGCACTCTGTTTATTAAACGGCCTTAATAGTTCACACTTGGTAACTACGGTTCCCAGTCAGACAGCTGGCTGTCCAGGTCCGGTTATAGAATAGCCTGTCAGTATCAGTGTAGTTAGCCGTGGTGGTCACCACCCAATGTTATTATCCTGTAAGAGTTACCCGTTGTGTTAAATAAAAGTGTTGCCTCCAAGTACAAGTCTGCATCTAATTCGTGCACTACAAAGGTACAAATCCAGTCTTACAAATTCAGCAGGCGCATTTACATAGTTAGAACAATGACTGCACTAACTGGTGCTGTATCCGTTTTAAGAGATATACTTGTACATGAGCATTAACGTACCGTAAACGTTTTAGTGGGACCTCCGGCCTTGAAACGGATGACAAGGGTGGACTTAGTATCCTTCTCCACGACCTCGACAACGCCATCCTTCCACTTGGTCATTCCAGTCTGTTCAGTGAAGATTCTGATCTCGCCAGCCACGCTGATCTCACCAGACACGCTGGGTCCCATCTTGACAGCTAACTCACCAGCCTGCTATCTACAATTTGTTCGAATCTAGACAACACAAAAAAATTACAGTTAATGTTTCGTACATAATCGAATATTTTTTAGTCTACATTTCCCGCTGGATGTGTTGTATAATTAACTGGATGTATATCTTGCATGACAGATCACAACTGAGAGTGGCTTGCTTGGGAAAATAGCTCTCAAAAATATTTTTTAAAGGTGTAAATGATATTGCTGTTGTGTAGTTTTACCGTGATGTTAACAGAGGTCTAATCTTGCCAATTGCAAATTCCACTGGCAATTAACAACTAACCCAAAAAGCACTTGTGTGCTGCCCTTAGATCTAGAGGCGTAAAGGCACAAATATTGTGGCTTTCAGAATTATTTAACGATGCGTAATATAGACCCAGCATATCCATCTGCACTGATGGAACTTGGAACAGCAGCCTAAGCCATTGGTCATAAACTAATGAACTGAGTAATAACAGAGATAACAGTAGTATGGCATGGTGTCTATAATCATGTAGTGAATAGTAATTAAAATATTTGCATGCTATGTACAATAATAAGAGCATGGCGTTTGTGTATGGTAATGGTATGGTGTATATAGCAGCACTGGCGTGTTGTGCACAGTATTAATAGGATTGGCACGGTGTATAACAATAATGAATGACTTGTGTAAAAAAAGTTACACATCCGACAGCGAATTAGTAAGGTTTGTCACGTAAACAGAACATGTCAATTCGTTACGAGTACAGCATACCGTTGTGTTGGAAAGAAAATCCACAACATTTACAATCTGAGTACGACGTTTCGCCAGTAATTACAACTAGTTTCATCAGGCGACCGCCAGATTTGCGGAGGAATCCCGTTTCGTTGTATTTACGCGATCTGACCTAAAAAAAAGGCTACATTATGGATACTGGTCGCGAAAGCCTACGTGTTAAACCAAATAAAAAGTAATAATCACATGGCGTGTATCCAAATAGTGAACTACGAGGTGAATGGTCGGGAGGAAGCGGAGTCTTCTCGGCTGCACAGGCCAGAGACGTCCCAGTGAGGCCCCCTCAACGCCAATCATCGGCCAGTCCTCTCCGTTCCCTCGCAGTGCGAGTACACAGTAACTCAGGTGGTGAGACTCCCCCCACACACACACCGACGTCTCGGTCAAAGTTCCATTCAAGAGCCTCCACTCAAGAGACGGTCCCCACCGATGGGTCCCTTCAGAGGCCCCTCTCAAGGAGTCCTTTGAGCGCACCCCCACCCCCCACCAAAGTACGAATCTCCTCGGTCACAAGAGCCCCATCAGGCCCTTTCATCGAGTCCCCTTCCTCGCAGTAAAACCCTTCAGTGAAGTCGGCCTCAGGACTGAACTCAGATCCCTTCAGGGGAGTCCCCTCGCCGTGAGGACCCCCAACACAACCGCTCGCTCGCTGGAAGCCTCCCGCTCTCACTTTCATCCTTCCGAGTGAAGAGTCGCCGTCTATCCCGTCTCCCCCCCCCCCGAATCAACCTCTCACAGCGAGACTGAGCACCCCCTTAGTACACAGAGCACCCCCTTAGTACTCTGCGAGCACGCCTAACCTCACCACCAACTCACCCACTCCGCCTGGGCCCCGAGGCCTCCCCGAGGCCGCGCCGTGCACAGACGCCACATTTAGCAACAACAACAACGACGTTTACCCGACGGCGTAATCGCAACTCAAGTCGGCGACGGACGTTGCATTGCGGCAGCCGATGTGTGTGTGAGAGAGAGTGAGAGAGAGAGAAGATGAAAGATCGAGAACGAGAACGAGGCCCCCCCCGGGTTTGCGTGATGGCGGGAAGCCGAGAGACTGGGCCCGGGGGTGGCGAATCCCGGGGCCTCTCACCACGAGCGGCGGCGGCGGCGCCTGCCGCGGCTGTCGCCTTCCTTCGCCGGCTCGCCTCCTCGGGAACTCCCTCACCCCACGAGTATCAGCAGCAGCAGCATCATCATCGTGAACAACAACAACAACAACAAACAACCGCCACGGCAACACTGTCGCGTAGAGATGGACGAAACATCAGAACGCACCTGCGACGTTTGTTTTAAAACGACGCGTGCGGGAGGGCGGGCGGGCGGGAGGGAGGGCGACGTGGGGGAGGGGGCGCGGCGCGTGGCGACCGCAGGGGGGCGCTGTGGAGGCTGCGGCGGGGCCGTGGGACCCCCCCCCCGCACGGGACCCCCCCCCGTCCCCCCCCCTCCCGCCCGTTCCCCCCCCTCCCATCCCCCCCGCCCGTCCTCCCCGCCCATCCTCCCCCACCCGGTGGTTGGTGGTGGGTGATGTGTGGATTGTGGTGATTGTTTAGTGGTGATAATGGTGATTGTGACGTTGGTGGAGGGGATGGGTGATGTGGGGATTGTGGTAGTGAGTTTGTTGGTGATAATGGTGATGGTAACGGTGGTGGTGTGGATGGGTGATGTGGGGATTGTGGTAGTGGTTTGTTGGTGATAATGGTGATGATAACGGTGGTGGTGTGGATGGGTGATGTGGGGATTGTGGTGATAATGGTGATGGTAACGGTGGTGGTTGATGGGTGATGTGGGGATTGTGGTAGTGGTTTGTTGGTGATAATGGTGATGATAACGGTGGTGGTTGGTGGGGGTAATACTGACGATGGTGACGGTGTAAATGTTGATATATGCAATGGTATGTTGGTAATAATGGTGACCATAATCGTTATGGTTTGGTGGCGATAATGGTGATGCTCTGGTGTTGGTGATGATGGTGACGATGCTACTGTATTGATTATGGCAGTGATGACGGTGATAGAATGATATACTATTTTTCTACGATTTAAAATTGTTATTGTGTTTACAATATGTATAGTACATCGAATCGTGCGTGTCACCATCAATAGTTTGCTTTGTGTCACTTTACACCCTGGATACCATCGAAAACAAGATGATCCATGAACAAATACAGGGAATATAGATCCATGGCACTTTCTTAATTGTCTCATTCGCTGTAGGGGCAGCTAGTGTGAAGGAGGACACAAGAAAACCCTGCTCTTCCCGGCACCGATGCCCACACATTGCACAATTTGCCAATGAGTGGTACACTCTCGAGTCTAGAGCAGGGGCGGCAACCAAAATAACAAGAAGAGATATTTTTTTCGAATGCGGTAAAAAAAAACCCTCAATATTTCAAGAGCCACAATGCGTGTGGTCCTTGATAAATAACGTCACGAAGCGGTCCTTTGAGAGCCACATGCGGCTCCGGAGCCGTAGGTTACCATGGTAAACTAGACTTCCGTGGTAAACTGGATTTACATGGTAAACTGGAGTCCCATGGTGAAGTGGACTTACATGATGAACTGGACTTCCAATATAAACTAGACTTCCATGGTAAACTGGAGTCCCATGGTGAAGTGGACTTACATGGTGAACTGGACTTCCAATATAAACTAAACTTCCATGGTAAACTGTAGTCCCATGGTGAAGTGGACTTACATGGTGAACCGGACTTCCAATATAAACTAGACTTCCATGGTAAACTTGACTTCCATGGTAAACTTGACTCCCACGGACTCTAAATGAACCGGCGTCGTGCAACATTTCTGTGTAATTCATGCTGTGCAAGTGATATATGTTAAATGCTTAGGTTGTCATTACCGGTTTCTTATTTTTGACACCCATGACATTAATCTTGCCAACGAGATGTTCCAGCTCGAGGCATTTACCAGGTGAAACTTTTGAATTAATAAATAGGGTGGCCCAAGACAATCTTGTGCTGCGCGACACGGCCACATATTCACTGGAGGTGTTCGCGAGAGAGGTGTGCGTGTCGGAGCTATAACCCCTCCATCTGTCGGGGTCATCCAAATTCCCTCCGGATTTTGGTTCAATTTACAGTGGCCAGTCTGGTCAACGGGAGTGCTTTGAGTGTGTTCCAAGTCTGCGTGATTCTGTGTATGCGATTGTGTGCGCATGGGAGTGTCCGTGAGTCTGAGCGAGTGTGCATCCGTGTGTCTGAGTTTGCATCACAACGTGAGTGGATGCTGAGCAACAATCACCACCGTTCACCACTGAGCGGCAGCCACGTCCCCACGACGCTTTTGCCAGGTTCAGCGCACTTTTGAGGCCATGTGAAGTGACCAAGGACGGCCCGCTGGCAGGTCACGGAACAGACAGACCCTGGTGCCATGGGTTGACTGAGTGAGATGACTGGCAGATCCACCAACTATACCCCCCCACTGTGCCAACTTTCTTCGTTTTATCCGCCCAGCGTCCAGCTCGTTGTGAGCGTGGGCTCCTCTGCCCTCCGTTGTTGCTGGAGGGCGACTGCCCAGTAGCAGCGTCCTTCAGACTGTAGGGGCAAGTGCTGTTAGCGAGCACCTATGAAGGCCGGCACTGTGGCACACGAGGCGGTGGGTGGCCAGCACCACGCCCGGCCGCCTTTGTCTCCCCAATTGGCGACGTTACCACACCGCACCAGGTGAGCCATTTGAGGCTGAGTCGACCAAGCGGAGCCCCAGGAACCGGTTCAGACAATCGTCACTGGCGGTGTTGGCCGTGAGCGGGAATCGGCTGCAGTCGGCGCAGCGCGCTAACCGCTGCACCACCGCTCTTCACCCCCCCACCCACCCACAGCGTCCCACGTGTGTCGCCCGGACACGTGGTGCCGCAGGGGCTGCTGGGACCGGCTTCCGCTGCTGCTGCCGCTGCTGCTACTGCTGTCACTGTTGTTGCTGCTGCTGCTCCCGCTCCCGTTGCTGCTGACACTTCGGCCTCGTCCCCCTCGCGTCTCCCTCGCGTCGTCCTCGGCGCTTCTGGCCGGCGTCTCCCCACTCACAGCCCCCCCAGCGCCTCCGCGTGCGCCGCGTGCCACCCCCTACCCACACACACAGCAGCAGCAATGGGGAAGAGAGATCGTGACCGCGGAGACAAAGGTTCGTTCTGTGGCGCGGTGCAAACACCCCCCGAGACGCGAGGGTGGAGGAGGTGGTGGAGGGTGATGATGAGGTGGATGATGATGAGGTGGATGATGATGAGGTGGATGATGAGGAGGATGATGAGGTGGATGATGATGAGAGCGGAGAGGCCCGTGAGCCCGGGCCTAGGCCCGATGCTGCCGCTCACGATGATGATTATGAGGATGATGATGAGGATGATGATGATGAGGATGTTGATGCCGTGGCGAGTCTCGCTCTCTTTGTGTGACGAATCTCTCGGGGTGTGCGGGTCTCTGTTCTCTGTGCAAGACGAGTTGTGTGTAGTAGCCTGTATAGTGTGTGTGTAGTGTGTGCGTGTAGTGTGTATAGTGTGTGTGTAATGTGTGTAGTGTGTATAGTGTGTGGTGTGTGTACGTGTGTAGTGTAGTGTGTATAGTGTGTGTGTGTAGTGTGTGTGTAGTGTGCGTGTGTGTAGTGTAGTGTGTGTATAGTGTGTGTGTACGTGTGTAGTGTAGTGTGTCTAGTGTGTGTGCTGTGTGTGTAGTGTGTGAGTGTAGTGTGGTGTGTGTGTAGTGTGTGCGTGTAGTGTGTGCGTGCAGTGTGTGTGTGGTGTGTGTGTGTAGTGTGTACGTGTGTAGTGTGTGTATATAGTGTGTGTGTACGTGTGTAGTGTAGTGTGTGTAGTGTGTCTAGTGTGTGTGCTGTGTGTGTAGTGCGTGAGTGTAGTGTGTGTGGTGTGTGTGTAGTGTGTGAGTGTAGTGTGTGTGGTGTGTGTGTAGTGTGTGTGTGTAGTGTGTGCGTGCAGTGTGTGTGTGGTGTGTGTGTGTAGTGTGTGCGTGTAGTGTGTGTGTAGTGTGTGCGTGTAGTGTGTGTAGTGTGTGCGTGTAGCGTGTGCGTGTAGCGTGTGCGTGTAGTGTGTGTGTAGTGTGTGCGTGTAGTGTAGTTTGTGCGTGTAGTGTGTGTGTGTAGTGTGTGCGTGTAGTGTGTGTGTAGTGTGAGTGTGTAGTTTGTGTGGTATGTGTGTATTGTGTGTGGTGTGTGTAGTGTGTATAGTGTGTGTGTAGTGTGTATAGTGTGTGTGTAGTGTGAGTGTAGTGTGTGTATAGTGTGTGTGCAGTGTGTGTGTGCAGGGTGCGTGTGTGTGCAGGGATGCGTGTGTGTGTGTAGTATGTGTGTGGTGTGTGTAGTATGTGTGGGTAGTATGTGTGTGCAGTGTGTGTGTGCAGTGTGTGTAGTGTGTAGTGTGTGTGAGAGACTGTGCGGCGGTGACTGTTATGGGGGAGCGGTCGTACTGGGGGGGGGGGGGGGGGTGGTTAGCGCCAGGCCGAGTTCGACTCCCGCTCACGGTCAACACCGGTGACGATTATCTGAGCCGGTCCTGGGCCTCTCCGAGGTCGGCTCGGCCTGGTGCGGTGTGTAAACATCACCACTTGGGAGACGAAGGTTGTTGGCCACATCACCCCCTCGTGTACTCTGCCAGCATTTATCCCAAAACGCATATAAGGAGTGCCCCGTGTGCGATTCTGTATTGGTGTGCGAGTGTGCATGTTTGGGAGTACGTGCGAATAGGTGTGCCAGTGTGTGTTGGAGAATGTATCGGACTGCGTGTGTGAGCGAGTGTCAGTGTCTGCATGTGTGAAAGTGAATTTATGAATCTGTGTATGCAAGTTTCATGGGTTGCGAAATCTTTCTAGTAGAAGTTGCCGGGCCTGTTGTTTCCACAGGTCATGTTACATGTTTTCGAAATGTGGACCCCTTTACAAGAACACCTACACCGGCTTGAAACATTCAGGCTGGCCTGCCTACGATCTATCTTGGATTTATCCAGGATCGATTACAAGGTGCTCTCCATTACTTGATTCTGTTGGCTGGGCCATGTAGCCCACAGAATGTGCAAACAGCTTCTATTTGGCCATCCAGACGGGCACAATACAGGCTGACATGGTGCAGTAGGACAAGGCGCTAATTGGATTTCCCGATGACTGGTGCCAATTGTGTCGAGATCAGCCTCTATGGGGGCTGAAATACAGTGTGGCACTATGAGCAGCACTGGTTGTGTATCTGCCAGACAAGTTAACCCACAACCACCTTGGTCTGAACTGTGACCTGCCAGCGAGCCTTCGCCATTTGATGTGTCTCCAAAGTGCACATAGCATGGTAATGTCACGTAACTCGGTGGCAAATGGCACTTGTTGTGTCTGAATGTGTATAACAATATGCATATGCGTAAATTTATGAATGCGTGGAATATCAATTGTGTGCTGGTGTATGTGAATGTGTGTATTGGGGGCATTGGTGCAATGGTTAACACAGTGCACTATGAACCTGGCAACCTGAGTTTAACGCAGATAATGAAGTTAAGCTTGCCTTGTAAGAGTTTTACATTTGTGCGTTGCCTGCATGTAATTGTGTGATGAATGCGTGCATGCACCATCAGACAGGAAGCGCTGGAGGAAGCGCAAAGATGAGGACGAGGAGGAGGAGGTGGCGGCTAATGAGGATGAAGATCAGCAAGAGGCAGTCCCGACTGCTGCTGGTCGGCAGGTGGAGACGGCAAACACAATAATCGACGAATTTGGAGCCAAAGATTACCGCTCATTGATGACCCTCAAACAAGACCACTCGTCACGCCCCCTCTGGGTGGTGAGCTCTTCATGTTACATGTAACTGTTCATTATTAAGTTGCATTTATATGAAGGTTTGTAAACAATGGATGATTGTAAGTTTTTTTATTAAGTGTTTTCTCTCTCTCTGTGTGTCTCTGTGTTGTCTCTCTAGTATTTCCTGCATTTTGTTTTCTCTCTCTGTGTTGTCTCTCTTTGCTTGTGCATCTGTCTTTGTGTCTCCGTGTCTGTGTCTCGTCTCTCAAAATTTCACACTTAACTTCTAATTTATCAATCTTTGGAAGAACGTAATCAACCAGGCTATGCGTTAATTGTGTGTTGACCGACTCTCTGTGTTGCATTGCATTACATTTCCAAATTTTACTAAGTTTGTTTGATTTAGTGTGTTTTCTCTCTCTGTGTGTCCTTGTGTTGTCGCTCTAGTATTTCCTGCAGTCACGAAAACTCGAAATCTCTCATTGACATGCTAATTTCTCTACCCCCCCCCCCCCTCTCTTTCTGCTCCCGGCTCTCTCTATTTAAGGCCTCGACACAGAGGCGTTGTTTTACTGTGTGCCTATGTGTATGTCTCTCTGTGTTATCTCTCTGCTTACAGTGAGGGAAAAAAGTATTTGATCCCCTGCTGATTTTGTACGTTTGCCCACTGAAAAAGAAATGATCAGTCTATAATTTTAATGGTAGGTTTATTTGAACAATGAGAGACAGAATAACAACAAAAATCCAGAAAAAACATGTCAAAAATGTTATAAATTGATTTGCATTTTAATGAGGGAAATAAGTATTTGACCCCCTCTCAATCAGAAAGATTTCTGGCTCCCAGGTGTCTTTTATACAGGTAACGAGCTGAGATTAGGAGCACACTCTTAAAGGGAGTGCTCCTAATCTCAGCTTGTTACCTGTATAAAAGACACCTGTCCACAGAAGCAATCAATCAATCAGATTCCAAATTCTCCACCATGGCCAAGACCAAATAGCTCTCCAAGGATGTCAGGGACAAGATTGTAGACCTACACAAGGCTGGAATGGGCTACAAGACCATTGCCAAGCAGCTTGGTGAGAAGGTGGCAATAGTTGGTGCGATTATTCGCAAATGAAAGAAACACAAAAGAACTGTCAATCTCCCTCGGCCTGGGGCTCCATGCAAGATCTCACCTCGTGGAGTTGCAATAATCATGAGAATGGTGAGGAATCAGCCCAGAACTACGCGGGAGCATCTTGTCAATGATCTCAAGGCAGCTGGGACCATAGTCGCCAAGAAAACAATTGTTAACACACTACGCCATGAAGGACTGAAATACTGCAGCGCCCGCAAGGTCCCCCTGCTCAAGAAAGCACATATACATGCCCGTCTGAAGTTTGCCAATGAACATCTGAATGATTCAGAGGACAACTGGGTGAAAGTGTTGTGGTCAGATGAGACCACAATGGAGCTCTTTGGCATCAACTCAACTCGCCATGTTTGGAGGAGGAGGAATGCTGCCTATGACCCCAAGAACATCATCCCCACCGTCGAACATGGAGGTGGAAACATTATGCGTTGGGGGTGTTTTTCTGCTAAGGGGACAGGACAACTTCACCGCATCAAAGGGACGATGGACGGGGCCATGTACCGTCATATCTTGGGTGAGAACTTCCTTCCCTCAGCCAGGGCATTGAAAATGGGTCGTGGATGGGTATTCCAGCATGACAATGACCAAAAACACATGGCCAAGGCAACAAAGGAGTGGCTCAAGAAGAAGCACATTAAGGTTCTGGAGTGGCCTAGCCAGTCACCAGACCTTAAAATCTGTGGAGGGAGCTGAAGGTTCGAGTTGCCAAACGTCAGCCTCGAAACCTTAATGACTTGAAGAAGATCTGCAAAGAGGAGTGGGACAAAATCCCTCCTGAGATGTGTGCAAACCTGGTGGCCAACTACAAGAAACGTCTGACCTCTGTGATTGCCAACAAGGGTTTTGCCACCAAGTACTAAGTCATGTTTTGCAGAGGGGTCAAATACTTATTTCCCTCATTAAAATGCAAATCAATTTATAAAATTTTTGACATGCGCTTTTCTGGATTTTGTTGTTATTCTGTCTCTCACTGTTCAAATAAACCTGCCATTACAATTATAGACTGATCATTTCTTTGTCAGTGGGCAAACGTACAAAATCAGCAGGGGCTCAAATACTTTTTTCCCTCACTGAACGTGTCTGTCTATGTGTCTCCGTGTCAGTGTTTTGTCTCTCTCTCAAATCAACAATCTTTGGAAGAACGTAATCAACCAGGTAGGGTGTTAACTGTTATGTTAGCCAACTCTCTGTGTTGTATTGCATTATATTTCTAAGTTTACTAGGTTTGTTTTCTCTTTTATTCGTACCTGATGATGATTGCTTGTGTTGCAATCGAAACGTCGTATGCTATTATTTAATTTATTTTTCTTTCTACGTGACTTTACCGAAATAACCAAAGAGTTATACATGTGTTGTTGCATTTTATGTCTTAACTCTGCAAACTGATCAAACTTGATCACTCATGCTTGTCAGGCACCCGACGGCCACATCTTCCTGGAAGCCTTCTCGCCCGTGTACAAGTATGCACATGACTTCTTGATTGCAATAGCGGAGCCTGTGTGCCGGCCGGCACGTATACATGAGTACCGGCTAACGGCGTACTCCCTGTATGCCGCTGTGAGTGTCGGCCTACAAACTTCTGACATCATAGAGTACCTCCAGAAACTGAGCAAGACCAGCATTCCTGATGGAATACTCACCTTCATTAGGGTAAGAATAGTGCAGGTACATGGGACACACATGTCTCTAGAAACATTGCGGGTGTAATAACCATAAAATACGTGCCGTGCTCTTAACATTGGACTTTAAAAATCCCATGACGTTTAAAAAAAAAAGATTGTGTGCAGGCCTCATTGTCAAAATTTGCCAAATATGAATAATTGGTAAATTGGAATTGTAAGCAAAAATCACTCCCCTCTACGGACACATTAATGCCAACATGCAGGCTAGTGCGGAGTTGTCTTGTAACACACTGGGACAGCTTCCACTGGGGATCCCTTTTGAATGTTTGCATTCCTGAAGCAATTATGCACCATGTACTGTATACACAAAGACTGAGATGCATGTATATGTACATGTGATAAGCAGCAGGGGTCTTGTAGAGTCACAGCACAGCAATGTATTCATTTAAATTTCAACAATGTTTCTTGTGCAGCTCTGCACAGTCAGCTACGGAAAAGTCAAACTTGTACTGAAGCATAACAGGTAAATACAAAGTGTGGATATTTGTTTTTATTTGGTAATATTGCTAAAAATATTTTAAAAAATAATCTCCGAAGGATGTTATTTACTTTTACACTACGATAAAAATTGCCGATATAAATCTTCAGTTCACCGTATCTCGTGGTGCTGTATAACAGAAACCAATAATTATTCTAGATGAGTTGTAAACACTGAATGAAATCTACATATTGGGGATGTATTTAATGTAAATTGGAGAAAAGCATGAGCATAAAGATGTGGTAGATGAACCAAAAATGTTGTAGTTAGCTCGCAACTTATTATTAGGTTTCAAGTTCGCATCCCACTTTGGAATCATGTCCGCTTATCTGTCAAAAGGGTGTTCCATTTTGTGGGAGGTCAACTGGTTATCTTATCCAGGAGGTTGAGTTGTGAATACGACCGTTGATGGAGCAGCACGTGACCGTCTGCAGGTATTTTGTGGAGAGTGCCTTTCCGGACGTGATTCAGCAACTGCTTCAGGATGATGTGGTGAAGCAGTGTCGACTGCGCTCTGAGGAGGGGGAGACACCCCTCATCACAGAAACATTTTCTGGCAAATCAGCCCTACAAGTAAGCACCTTCTGTCACGTCCACCAGGGGGCATCCTAATACGAGCATTGTATCACTTGGCGGGGTCTGCTTTGCGAGTTCTCGCTTTCCACAGGTTTCGATCGATAGCCAACTGCACAGTATCCTCACATGTTCTCGTTGACAACTTCGCCATGTTCTCTTTAAGTCTCCCTCAGTCTTTCCCAGAACTTTCATGGTCTGAACTTTCCAACGTAGTCTTCTGACTTTCTCGAATATCAGAAGAGAAAATGACTTTATTATAAGACTGGTGGTCCTATAATCAAGTTAACTATACTCTTTGGTTCTTTCGGTAAAGTCACGTAGGTATACCTACGTGAGTATAGATTCCTGCAGTCACGGAAGCTTCAAATCAAGATAACTATAGTCTCTTACTGCAGTGTGCAACGCAAATAACAGTACATTTTTAATATTGAAAATAAGTTGTTGAACTTGGCCACAATGCAAAACATGTATGTTCTTCATTGCTAACATGTCATACTTCAAAGGAGTGAAATAAAAATACATTTTGCTTTGTTTTGTTGAAGCTGAATAAACCAAGCACCACCAGCTTGGGAGGAGCTGATGGAGCCTGCACATCCCAGGGGCAGACTTCAGAACAGACAGAAGCACAGACAGTTGTCCCATCAGACATATTCCACTTCTATGAGCAGATGGACAAGGAGGATGAGGATGAGGCTGTGGAGACCCATACTGTCTCCTTTGAGATCAAACAGGTACAGTGAGAGCAAATATAATATAATTTAATATAATTGACATTTGTAATGCTCCTTTCATCTGTAGATCCCAATATATTGGTGTTTAAACTTGAATTTTTCAAGATATTCAGATGCTTATTTTTCCCATCACGATCCATGTGCCTTGTGCAGGACACAATTGAACTTCTCCAGAAACGCTGCATCGAAATGGAGTTCCCATTGTTGGCCGAGTACGACTTCCGAAATGATGCAGTCAACCCAGACCTTGATATTGACCTTAAGCCCACTGCTGTGTTGCGGCCTTACCAGGAGAAGAGCCTCCGGAAGATGTTCGGCAATGGCCGAGCCCGTTCGGGAGTCATTGTGCTGCCATGTGGTGTGTGTCAACATGAGGACACCTCACTTTGCCCTGTTGTTTGTGAAATATATACTAACATTAACTTGAGCATAATTTTACATGCAACTACTTAACAATAAGCCACGTTACATTTTTGTCCTAATGTTTTTGAAAAAGTTCATGCCTTACAAGTAAATTTATTATAACGTACGCATTTGCTTCACCCGCAGGTGCTGGGAAATCGTTAGTGGGTGTGACAGCAGCATGCACGGTCAGAAAGCGCTGTCTTGTACTCTGCACATCTGCCGTGTCAGTGGAACAGTGGAAGGCTCAATTCCGCATGTGGTCAACGGCAGATGAGAGCCAGATCTGCCGGTTCACTTCTGATGCCAAGGACAAGCCATCGGGCTGTGGAATCGCCATTAGCACATATTCCATGCTGGGCCACACGACAAAGCGATCTTGGGAGGCAGAGCGTGTCATGGATTGGATGAAGAGCCAGGAGTGGGGACTAATGCTTCTGGATGAGGTCCACACCATTCCAGGTAAACTCTTATGAGGAAATAAATGCAGCATGCTTAACACGTTACAGTGAGCGATCCACTTAACATTTTTCAAATGTTAATATATTTGCAATCGCCCGAATTGCCCGCTGCCTCCCTCAACCCGCAGCTCGCATGTTCCGCCGGGTGTTGACCATCGTGCAGGCGCACTGCAAGCTGGGCCTTACGGCCACACTAGTGCGCGAGGACGACAAGATCGTTGACCTCAACTTCCTCATTGGCCCCAAACTGTACGAAGCGAACTGGATGGAGCTGCAGAATGCTGGTTACATTGCTAAGGTGCAGTGTGCCGAGGTGAGTGGAGAGATGTTAAAAAATTCACAGCTTTTAAGAGCTGCCCGATGGAGTATGATGTTTAAGGCCTCGACACAGAGGCATTGGGTCTCTGTGTGTCTGTTGTTTCTCTCTGCTTGTTTCTGTCTGTGTGTCTCCGTGTCTGTGTTTTGTCTCTGAAATTTAGTTGTACCTGATTACGGTTGCTTGTGTTGCAATCGAAACGTCGTACTCTATTATTTAATTTATTTTCTTTATACGTGACTTACCGAAAGAACCAGAGTGAGTATGATGTTTGATTACCCTTAATGACTTTATTTAATAATTACCTCTGAATTGTATTAATTTAATAATTTGTGGTTGTTCAAAGCTTATTAAAATAATGATGTTAGGAATAGTTCGTTTCTCAAGAATGGCAATTACACTTCCAAAAAAATAAAACATTCCCCCGCCACGCAATAGCAGTTGGCTGCAGCACAGTTGAGTCTTGTTATATTTGCCTCACACTGACACCGGGCTGTCTGCCAAGGTGTGGTGTCCCATGACCCCGGAATTTTACCGCGAGTACGTGTCAACCCGGACCAAGAAGCGGCTGCTGCTCTATGTAATGAACCCAAACAAGTTCCGCGCCTGCCAGTTCCTGATCCGCTTCCACGAGCGCCGCAACGACAAGGTCATCGTGTTTGCGGACAACGTGTTTGCACTCAAGGAGTACGCAGTGCGGCTCAACAAGTGGGTGCTCCCATCGACACACTGTCCTGCTGTGTTCGTGGGAAAGATGTGAACATCCAAATTGTTCAATTGGGATTACACATTGTAGCAATCGTCACCCTCCCCCACGTGGGAGACTAATGCCCGTTTGTCGGCTAGATCCCGAGTCACATTGTGCCCGGGGACAGTCGACACAGGGGTGCCGTTTGAAATGTTGGAAATGAGATGCCAGTTTATTTTTGGTTGTAAAGTGCTCTGTGACATGCTAGCATAAAGAACACTATATGAAATATTGTTTTAGTTGAAAATTACATTTTAAGACATATACCAAAAGGATGTTATTTTTACTATATGGAATGCTAGTCATTTAATGCTTTTTTCTGATTTAAGTAGCAATATGATGTACACCAACATTTTGAATCACTTTTTACAGGCCATATATTTATGGGCCGACTTCACAAGGCGAGCGTATGCAGATCCTACAGAATTTCAAGCACAATCCCAAAATAAACACCATCTTTATTTCAAAGGTCTGTATTTCTACACATTGTTTTCAATTGACATCGGCCAAGAATCCCTGGCATGTCCAGTGCATATGCTCTGCCTAAATAAAATCTACAATCCCTCAAGAGACATGTTGCGGTTGTATGTGTAGGTTGGCGACACGTCTTTTGACCTGCCCGAGGCTAATGTGCTGATCCAGATCTCGTCCCATGGAGGATCACGGCGCCAAGAGGCACAACGGCTTGGCCGAGTCTTGCGTGCTAAAAAAGGTTGGTAGGGTCCATGTTGCAACGTCTTTCGGTGAAGGACCACGAGCATGGGCAAATTCTAAACTTGTGTTTTCCCGCAGGCATGGTGGCAGAGGAGTACAACGCTTACTTCTACTCACTCGTGTCTCAGGACACCCAGGAGATGGCCTATTCGGCCAAACGACAACGCTTCCTTGTGGACCAGGGTTACAGCTTCAAAGTAGGTTCCAAACATTGGTTCAGGAACAGTTTCTGTTCACTAAATGTAATTCCCTTTGGTTACACTCTTCAATATCAATGTAGCATTGGGTGAAGCATTAACAGTGGCTACTGCACTGTCCTCTGAACCCAGTGGCCCCAGTTCAATTCTCAGCGACAGCTCACATTTGTGTCAAGTGATGTCCAATAAAGTGCTGGGTGCCACCCCTCCTCTCCTGCACTGACAAAGCATGAGGCATGGTCAAAAACATCTCCATAATTGACACTGCATGGAGAGGCCTTTATCCAACAAAATAAAATGCAGTATAAAACTCATCATAAAATGATGCTCATTGTCCGTGGTGTGAAAATTACATTTAAAAAAGTGATTACAAGGTAATTGAACATTTGCCCAATTTCCCAGTCCAAATTTCAGACACTTTATAAGGCTGATTAGCTGGAGTTTGAACATAATAAATGGTGAGATGTATTTTGTCAACTACTTGTGCAGGTGATTACAAAGCTTGCAGGCATGGAGGAAGGAGAACTCATGTTTGCCACCAAGGAGGAACAGCAACAGCTGCTTCAAAAAGTGCTCGCCGCCTCCGATTTGGACGCCGAGGAGGAGATCGTGGCCGGTGAATTTGGCGGGCCTCGATCACAGGTATTACTTAGGTCACAGGCTTGTGCTTGGATACAGCATGAAAGCTCTTGCAAGAGACTAACCATTTGTATACTTAATCCATATATAACAATACTTTGCATTGCAAGACTAATTTGAATGCATCCATACCTGCATGTAAATCGCTTTTGTTTTTGTAGACAATGCCAGATATATGGGTTGAGGATTGAGATTATGGTGTGGCTTTGTGTGCAGATGTCACGGCGTGTGGGCAGCATGAGTTCCATGTCTGGAGCTGACAATGCAATGTACTTGGAGTACCAGGTCCCACGTTCCAAGTCATCTATGGGTGGCAAAGTGCTGCACCCTCTCTTCAAGCGCTTCCGAAATAAGTGAGGGCATCTGTCCTCATTTCCTCGATGATTTTAACACCAAAGGTAATAATAGACCGCCAACCTAAGACTGCCAAAATGGCACAAGGTGTGGAGGAAAGTTTGTTTATAAAGTGTGGTGGGGGGTTTAAGGCATTTGTAACTTTGTATGTTTCCTTCTGAGCCATTCGTTTTCTGTATATACATGTACATATGCAGAACTTGCGTGTAAATTCATACGGAGTCAAACAGGGTTTAACTTTCCTTGTGTAATACTAGAGATGTTATAAACTTGTTCACATTAAAATGACTTCATGGTTTAACAAAATTACATTACAAAAACTGCATGTGGGTTGTACAATTGATGGTTGGGTTTCATGAGACGGATTTTTACTTATTCAAATCTTTATCAAAGACCATGTTAGTGTGAACGAAAAGAGCGCTAGTGCATTGTAAAAAAATCTTGAAAAATAAAAAAAAATACTTAAGTAAATTGCTTGCAATTTGTAATGGGCATTTCTCCAACCATGAAACTTGACTGCTATATGCTGAATAATATTTTTGTTAATTGCAAATAAAAGTTAATTGATATTCCTGAGCAGTATAAAGGCAGTAATTTTGGCGTTTGCCAAAACTTTAAAGGTTCCTGGTTTATCCATTGAGTAATGCGGTCAACACTTCCTGTATATCGCGTAATCAAAGTGCTTCAGTGAAGCTTGTTCACATTATTGGGAAGTGCGGTTTCTGGAATTGTTCTTTCACATTCCAAATAAAATTAAAAAGTGAATAATTTGCAAAAATGACCACCAGATATAATGGAAAATATATTTCATTCCACATGCACACATCAGGTGAATGTGTATAACACATAAATAAATGTTATTTCATTTGCAAGTCTCAAAATTAGATAGTTATAGTAAAGTTTTTGCAAGAATATAGATGGTGTAGGGTAGTGCATGAGGCAGGTTTACATATGTATAAGGCACAAATTTGGCTGTTTTCCACAATACATAAACGGTTAAAACAGAAAGTCAAACACAATTCAGTTGCAGATGAACTGTTGAAAGGATAAACATAAAAAATACAATTCACATTCCCAGTAGAAAACACCTAGGGCAAGTCGAGAGGTTTCCCTTCAAATCACATGCAAGTTTTGCAGCTTATTAATAAAAGTAAGCAGCGCAGTTGAAGGGTGCCACTCGCTGTGCTTTGTGTATATAGTCCAGAGTGATCAAATCGTGGCAGTGTGGGCCCAGCCCAGGCACCATCTACGGGACATCAGTAGTGCCGGGGGTTGAGCTGCCGCAGCACCCCTAGGACGATCTCCCGCAGGGTCTGCAATGGAAACATAACACTCCCGTCATTGATTTGTGGCCGCTTTCAGAACTGTTTACAACGGATAAATTTAAAGCTAATTCACAATTGTATTTATCTGTTCACATACGAGTTGAGTGGCAACGCCCAAAGCATTCACTGCAGGTGCTGGTTAGGTTACACGTACCTGTGGCTTGCAGTGCTCCTCCAACCAACTGAAGACACAGGCAGACAGCTCCTGGAAGCTGGACACTGCAATGGAGGCATTGAAGGACTGGAACAGAGTATCCATGATACCCTGGAAGATGCTGAACTTCACTTCATCTGATACCTGCTCCTGGCCCTGCTGTGGATTGCTCTGGTGGGCACGCACAATCTGCTCGTAGTTCCTGCAACAATACAAATAAACGTGCAATCGTTGATACCCTATGGAGATTTGTTATTGTTTACACAACGATGGGGCAAATACAGGTAAATGATAATCAATAATTTTACGGAAGACTCTTACGATTTCATGATTTTTAGGGCAAGAACTTCTTTCCGCAGAGTTGACAACTCCTCCTCCTGCTTCTTCTTCTCCTTGTGGAGGAAATGTATGTAATCGATGGCTGCAACAATAATACAAACACACAACAGTGCACAAAGCTGGGCATTACCCTTTCAAAAAAATAACCTTGGTTATGAAAAGTTCTGGGAAAACTGGTAAAAGAAAAACACAATTTAGCCATGAAGTTGCACGATTAACAGCAACAAAGTGAAATACGTACAACGCTGCAGCACAGTGGCTTTACTCATCTTCTGGGAGCCAATAAGGTCCTGCTGCATACAGGTGGGCACAATGGCCTGCAGATCTTCATAGCCTTTCTGTAAAGACAATTGTTCTTCAGCCAAGCACAGTAATACAGGAAAAAATGCAGACTACAGCAACCATTTTACACGGAGATGCTGCATTAACCATAGGTTTGTTAAAACACCTAATTATTCACAGTATTAAAAGGAACAATACCTTAATGGCATCGCGCCGCTTCTGCTCAGCCTGGGTGTGAGCTTGACGCCGGCGGTCTTTGTACGTCAGCTCTTGCCTGTAGTCACTGTCTTCATCATCTGCACACAGAGGGAAGCAAGGCAAGCCTTCCATCATAACAAGTGCTTCAGTTTTATTTTATTTGGAATAACCCTGTGAGCCATTCAGCTCTTGATTCGGGTGCAACCGCAACAAACAATAAAATTACAAGATACATTTAAAATTTACTGTACGCAAATTTAAACATGCCCTGCAGTTGGCTATTTTCCAACTGCATGGGCTTTACCGACAGCTTTGTTATTGACACTGCACAGTTGGCGTAATGCACAAACCTGTGTTGGGAACGGAGGAAGCACTGTTGGAGCCCGTGTTGGAGTTGATGCTGTTGGTACGTGAAACAACTCCTCCCTTGACTATGCTATCTGCAAAGACTGAGACAGTGAAACAGCGAAGTACCATTAATACTGATTTGCAGCCAACAATTCCCAACCTCAAATGTCAATATAAAAGTGATGCTTCTCAAGATAAAGCACTGGATTATCATTAACATACTTGTTCTACTTGTTTGAAGGCCTCATGCCGTTACCATGCAATGCTGCAATGCTACATGCCATCTAACTCCAGTGCATGAACTATGACTTCGTCTCATCGTTCCATCTCTGGGTATTTCGAACATGCATCCTCATTTATGCTCCCCACTCCATAATAAGTCGACCACAGACGCTCTTCTCGTGACGTGCCCTGCCTGAGCCCACTTAAGTCAATATGATGTCTTTAACTGATATGTCCTCTAATCAGTGTTCTTCCTATCGATCAGTGTAAGCATACACATCTCCATGCTTATTTGAGCACTTTGCAGATTGTTCTACTTTATTTTCAATGGCCATGTTTCTGATCCGTACGTCAAGTAGATAATATATACTGATTAAAAACTGAGGCACATTGTTGTCTTTAATTATTAGATGTTTTAAAAAGTCCTGCCTGCAATCAATGGTCTCTTTATAGATACATTATTATCTCGGTGCACCTTCAATAACTTCCCGAGGTATATATACTCTTATGTATTTTCAATTGTTTAGAAAACGTTTTAAGGACTATTTCATTCATCTTGAGCCCCACTTTGCAATATTCATGTTCTATAATTGTATGTAATTTACATTGCTTATGACTGATGAGCAAAATATGAAATGGTCTCTAATCCCATCATGACACTTCAGATATTTTTTTACGTAATCATTGTGGGCTGCACAGCACGTGTGTGGTCGGAGTTGGGCGGCTGAGAGTTTGGAATTGTCTAAACCACAGTCTGGGCATTTGGATTGCAGAATTTATAGTGTTTGGACCTGGTTTGGGGTTGTATTTTTTATTGTAAATAACCTTACACTGGTCGAAGCCACTGTCACTGAAGCTCTGGTCGGAGTGATTGGCATGAAGAGAAGAGCTCTGTTGGAAAAGGAGAACAGAGACATTCGTTAAGGGGACCCCCTAGAGACGTGCAATCATTTTACATGAGATGAGATCGCCGAAACCCACTGCACGTTTTGCAATAAAAGGTACATATAAATTGTGAGCTCCAAAGTATATGAAGCTGTAACAGCTGTAATGGAGGCGCCGACAGATTTTAATATGTTAAGTTAATTATTAACACCTCCAAGCTGACGTGTAACAATCGGCCAAATGCACTCAGCTGCTGCACCGAGTGCACGGGCCAGCCATTTCGGGTCACTCAACATCGCAAATAAAACGTGTTAGTACGAAAAACGTGCGATGTGTGAAATGTTTATATGGAGATGTTTCCCTCCACCTGTGTGGAACAGCACACCCCCATACACACGGTGCTCCTAAAACATCTTACACTTTGTTACATTAAACGATTAACGAACTACTTTCTATTTTACCAGGTAAGGCCCACTGCGCTGCATATCAAGCTATTTTTCAGAAGCGTCCTGGTCACAAACGACAGCTCAACTAAGTGGTTTGTGGAAATGTATTGCAGCCAAATACCCTAAACGCATGTTTCTAAATGTGGAGGGAAAAATCGGAACAGCCGGATTTTTGCGACCACAGGGCGAACACACAAACTCCAAATATACAGCAGGCGTCAGGGTCGGGATCGAACCCACCAACTCGATACCAGGCGGGGGAGCTGCCACCAGAACTGTGGGTATCCACAATACAGGGTTAGAATTTGTGTGCATAATTCAGTGTCAAACTTATTAAAGCTGCAGAATGTTCCTGTATTTACGTTTAAGGAAACCTTGCAAGAGCTATGTAGGCAGGAGTGTGGAGGCGCAGGCTTAAAGGTAAAACAATTACATCGTTAGAAACAGTAAACCCTCTCCAAACATTCTAATGACCAGTAATATATCAAGAAATTACTTCATAAGAATGATCCTTGTCATATTTAAGCACTTTCCATCTCTTCACGATACCTCTTTATTCGTATTTTTTTCTGCGTAACTGGCGTCTTCAGATTGAATTGGTTCTAACTTCCCGCAGCTAAATGTTGCTAAACAATAGCACTTTATCGGTAAAAGCCTAGTTGGCAAACACGGATTGTGCGCATCCTAAATTCATTGCATCTCACTCTTACACTTTCACTCTTCTCACCTCGTCACTGGTGAAGAGTTCCCGAAAGCTCATCCTTAAATCAGTGCTCTCGTTCAACTTGCCAACACATTGACTCTGCAGGACCTCATAACTCCACCCCCACCCCACATAAACTCCATTATTGCAACTCTCCTCTACAGCCTCTCCAAATCAATCATTTTCAAACTTTAGATCACAAAATAATATTCCCACCCACACCCTAAACGAGCACCACATCCCCCAATCACTCCAAGGGCCCCCAATCCAATCTCAGATCAACTTCAAGAGTGCACTCTCCGCTCCAGCAACCAAATCACCCTTCACTCAGTTTAAAAGAATGCACACAGTCGGAGCATGCTGTTTTTGTTTGCATGTTCACCACAAGTACATGTGGTTCATGCAGACTTGATTCCTTGCAAAGGTTTTAGTTTGGTGTTTTCACATCTTAACGCACCTGCTTTATTGCCAGAAAGGGGGAAAAACCCCCTATGATCTTAGTTGGATATTATTTATTCTCTTTTGCTGTCCGCATGGCGCTGACATTTATTTCTACCCAGCCATCCCATGCCCATCGACCGCCTTTGCCCATTCAGTCGAGGGCTCAAGACCTTAGTATTTCCCCCCCCCCCCCTCTCTGCCATACGACTGCCTGCCTGCCTGCCTATGAAAATAAACAGCCCAGTTTGCCGATGTAAGGGATCTTGAGATGCGGTAAAACTTCACTTGGTGCACAATGCCGCTTAGTGGCTGGTGGTCGTGGTTGTCACCGCGCCTCGCAAGGCTAAGTCAATTTCCGCGGTTGGGGAGTTCCTCAAAGTCCGTGGAGCTTCCGGAGGCAGAGACGAGGATGAAGACAAAGATTCCACCCCCCCCCCCCCCCACGTGTAGCTGTAATATATTGTTGGGTACAAGTGCTGTTAGCGAGCACTTATTAAGGCCGGCACGGCACACGAGAGCGGTGGCCAACAACCAGGCCCGGCCGCCTCTGTCTCCTCAACTGCCGATGTTTACACACCGCACTAAGTACTCATTTGAGGCTGAGTCGACCTAGGCAAGGCCCAACGTCCGGTTCAGATAACCGAATCGAACTCCGGGTCGCCGGGTTCGTGGCGCCAACCGCTCCCCACAACCACCACTAACAATCACAACCACCACTAGCAATCACAACCACCACTAGCAATCACAACCACCACTAACAATCACAACCATCACTAACAATCACAACCACCTCTAACAATCACAACTACCACGAACAATCACAACCACCACTAACAATCACATACCACCACTAACAATCACAACCACCACTAACAATCACAACCATCACTAACAATCACAACCACCACTAACAATCACAACCACCACGAACAATCACATACCACCACAAACAATCACAACCACCACTAGCAATCACATACCACCACTAGCAATCACAACCACCTTCTTTGGTTCTTTCGGTAAAGTCATGTAAAATGAGAATAAAATAATAAATTGATAAAATAAAATAATAAAATTCTCACGACGTTTCGGCCACAACACAAGCGGCCTTCATCAGGTGAAGGGACGAGACTGTCTGGAGGACAGCGCTGGAGCGAACAAAGCCAAGCTCAGATCGCGACCTTTAAGCTGTGTGAGAAGAAACAGAGCGCCTTGACAAAGGAATTAGCATAGAATTTAGCATTGAAATAGCTGAGTGATTAGCTTGTGACTGGTCACAGAAATGGATATGTTAAAGTCAAAACCTACACATCTGAGCTATTAACAGTAACTGGGTATACACTACACTATATAATGAATACTATATAGTAAACCAATAAAAAACTAAAATATAAATTACCTCAATGTTATCAATAAACTCTATATATTCTCCAATCAGCTAAGCTACCAACAATAAGTCGTTATATATCACAATGCTATATGGCGAAAAAATGGGTGGATTCTTACCCTCAACTTTAGCACCACGGATAGCTACGAGCCCCGTTCAGACGGACAAGTTCATCCATGGTCGGAACGGAGGAGGGGGAGAGAGACAGCTGCGAGGCGCTGTTATACTCCATGTTGTAAACCATACCATTAACCGTGGTGTGAGAGGTATTAAGAGTCAATGCCAGCGAAAGAGCTGCGGTCTGAAGGTCATCGTAAAATACAATTAATTAAGAACGGAAATGGTTTAAAACATCTTTCCAATGGTTACTAAGCCAGAATCCATCTCGGTTGAAATTGTCTCTGTGCTTGTATATGATAATGGCCTCATGAACGAATCTCTCATGGTAGTCGGTTGGTTTGCAAAGAACCTCCATCCTGGAGAAGTCAATGTCATGCGAGCCCACTGAATTATAACAGTGATCTGCCACGGCAGAGGAGTTCGTTCTACCGCGTTTCAAGTCTGCTTTATGTTCGCGGATGCGGTCCGAGATATGTCGTTTGGTTTCTCCAATGTAGCTACTAGCGCAGGGGCACTTTAGTTTGTAAACGCCTGGAACAGCATCTTTTACAGATGGAACCAGATCACGGATTTCATGTACTGTGTTGAATCGGACCTGGATCTTGTGTTTATTCAGGATTTTGGAGATCTTTTTAGTGACCCCTGCAATGTAGGGTAAGGTGATGGTTTTGAGTGGCTCCACAAGAGGATCCTTCTTCATGACTGGAGTGATGGCTTTGCGGATTGTGTAGTCGGAGTAACCATTAGCCCTGAGAGCCTGGTGTACGTGCTTGAGTTCACTGGTAATGTGTTCCTGGTCGGAAATGCATTGGGCTCCATGGTATAGAGTCTTGATGAGGGAGTTCTTCTGGGATGGATGGTGGTGGGAATCCGGTTTCAAGTAAGCATCTGTATGGGTAGCTTTCCTATAGACAGAGTGGCTCATTGAACCATCATGTCTCCTTTTAATTAAGACATCCAAAAAGGGTAGTTTGCCATCTTTTTCGACCTCCATGGTAAATCTGATGGTTGGGTGTATGGAATTGATGTGGTCGCGGAATTGGTCTAGAGCAGGCTGGCCATGTGGCCAGATGACAAAAGTGTCATCCACGTACCTCTTCCATAAGGTCGGGTGTAGAGTGGCAGTCTGGATGGCGTCAGTTTCAAATTTTTCCATGAATATGTTGGCTACAACCGGAGATACGGGGGAGCCCATTGGGGTGCCCTCAGTTTGTTTGTAGAAAGTTCCATTCCAGGTGAAGTATGTGTTGGTTAAGCAATGTCTCACCAGGGGGGGTACATCAGTATGCAGTCCTTGATGAACCAAGTCTTCAATGATAGCGATGGTGTCAGGTACCGGGACTTTGGTGAACAAGGACACCACATCAAAACTTACAAGCAGGTCGTCTGGGGACAGGGAAATGCCTTTGATTGTCGATACCAGGTGAGTAGAATTTAGTACCGCAGAGGTGGGTTTTCCAGTGAAAGGTCGCATTATATCAGCAAGAAAACGTGCCAGTTTATAGGTGGGGGAGTTGATAGTAGAGACGATGGGACGAAGGGGTGTATCTTCTTTGTGTATCTTTGGAAGGCCATATAATCTTGGTGGTCTGTCAGCAGAGGGTTTCAACGAGAACTGTTTGGTCTGATCAATTAATGCTGTTGAATCAGAGATTATTTTGTTCGTTTTGGTAACCAGGCTGTTGGTGGGATCTCTTTTTATTTTTGTATAGCTGCCATCGTTGAGTAGTTCTTGAATTTTGTTGTTATATTCTGTTTTGTCCATGATGACAGTGGCATTGCCCTTGTCGGCTGAGAGGACAATATCATCTCTCTTTTTTAATTGAGATAATTCAAAGAGTTCATCTTTGCTGATGTTGCTGGGTGGCAACTTAGCATTTTTGAGGGTTGCATCGATTTCAGATCTTGC